CTCGCGGATTTATCCGTAAATAATTCTCCCATTTGGTCTCAATTTATGTTCACACGTGCATCTCGGGCTGCGCGCAAAGTTGCTTTTCTCTTCCACGTCAGACGCACATCTACATCTATCCACCCTTTATACACTGCTCGAATCCGTCCGATGCTTCAGTGATGGAGTCATACACGAGGTGACGTCCTATCAGGCTCTTTTTTCTTCTTTACCGAGTCTATCCCACTGAACAACTAACCATTTCCATTCTCTAATTTGCAGTCGCTTTTCCACCGTAAGGCTGTTCGTTCTTTCTTCTACCGTTACTATTTTGAGTACCGTGCTTCAGAACCGGCTTCGGCGATTCTCATTCAGTTGACCTTTTCTGTCATCTCGTTCGCAAACGACCGGTCACCTTGATCGGGTTCCGTTGCTCAGTAGTTCGACCTCTTTTTTCTAGCACTGCGAAATTGTGGAACATTCTTCCCATTCCCGAATTTTGAATCCTAAAACTTTTCCCTTAAGAGAAAACTTAGTTCTCACCTGAATGTGCCCTCACATAGATTCCCATTCACAGTCTGTCACTGATCGGGGAGTTTACCCGTTCTGCAGTAAATCACTTAACGTGTAATCAGTTATGAATACATATACCATTTCACCACTCCGCATATCAATCATAAAAATTGTTTCCTTCGTTTACATGCTGAAACAACTGCGAAAACAACTCCAACCATATCAGTCCAATTGTATCCCAAGAGAGAGAATTCCATGAAAGAAAAGTGCACCGCGACGTATCCAGGAGGAAGGAATCTGTACATGACACAGACAAGCAGTCGAGCGATCCAATCGAGCATTACAAGGACAAATTAAGCAACTTCAAGTGCGTGCGAATCAGATTGGTCAAATAGGTGATCATAAGTAAATCCTTGTAGCTCGAATTGATTAACGACTCTAGATGTGCGGGATTCAATTTCGGAATGGAGAAGACCAGCTGTGCAATAGCACGTCCGATGTTCGGGTCCGCTGGGCGTTTGTTATTCAAAACATCGTTCACATAGTCGATGACTTGTTCAAGCATGGTCAGTAAATGTTCCGAAAGCTGGAACAAGTGAACCATGTCATCTCCAAGCTGAGGGAGGGGGTAGTGGCGAAACAACAAGCAGTGGAAAACAGTGAATAGCAAAAGGATGCACCAGAAGTTAGTACAAAAATACCTTGTGACTCTAAGATTACCATAAAGGTGCCAGGAATGTTATCACGCATATAGAAACACAAATCGAAGGTCCCTAAGCTAAAATAAGTAGACATCACAGGTTAACGACTGACTTCTACTAAAAAAATAGTGATTGTATTCGTAAAGTAAACCGAAATTCGTCTTCCCAGTTCTGTTACACTGTGACAAGCACCGAAAACCAACCGGGACCCTGGTCAACCGTGGGGTTGATGGATGCTAACATGAAGCCGAACCGCTGGGTGGTGGTGGCTCAGCGGTTCAAGTAGCGGCATGCACCGGAGGCCAAACATTCAAGGTGTGAACCTCCTCATAACTAACTCAATGTAGTGGTAGGCAGATTTTCTGGTGTCCAGTATAATATCACGTACATCTTTTTTGGGCCTTGTGGGGTTTGTTACTAATGGTCATGACGATTCAGTCGCCAGTTCCCATGACAAAACAGCATATACGCGTTACTATAGTGTTTACCCTTTCCACCGTTCATCACAGTGTATAGTGTAATCAAGGAATACTTTCAAAATTAAGGAATCACTTGCAAAGCGAAATGCATGTGGTATCACATCACTGCGTATAGGTCCTCCGACAGACTTGAGCCATCAGTCACAGAGCTGACATGTTCCAATGTCGCAGATAGGGGAGCGGCCATCAAAATGACTGCTAACAGCTAACGAAGGGAAGTCTATTGAATAGGTCACCGGGGAAGAATGGTCGTAGTGCTCGAAGATGAGATGGGATTTTATTCGAAAAGCTCTACCCCCCCCCCCCTCCCGTAAAATATAAGCCAGACGACGGCACTGCGACGCGGCAACTGTGAATCGCAACAAAGTTACTGCCCTTTTCCTTCCAGGTATTGGGTTTTAGCAGTGGAATATGATTAAAACTTCTCTACCACCTGCTTCACTGGGAGCCCTACGATTAATTGATCTGTGATATCGGAAATCCTTTGCGATCAGCATTTGTTACCAACCGGAGAGGACACTACAAGATCTGAGATTTGATATCAACATCGCAAGAAAATCATCTGCATCTCTTCGGGGACCCGGCCTGTTAGGCTTGTGTTGGATTTATCCTTAGCTGTTACTGACATGTTAAGCTGGATTGGGATCAACCGCCGGCTGAGCAGTCTGGCTCCGGGGTTCTTGCCGAGTGAACGAGCTGCGAGATCAAAGTCGTCATTTAATTGTTATATCAGCCTCTTCCTTGACAGACTGCGGCGCTAATAGTCTGTGATCTAAGTGTTCAGTGTTAGAAATAACGTCACTAAGCATAAACTTTAGAAAAAAAATAGTATAACGGAAGTGCAAGTGATTGCTCAAAATTTCCCGGCTTTCTTTTTTGGGACTGGTGTGTGTGGCGTACGGGTCTCCAACAGTCAGTACTTTTCGATTCCTCGAAGAAATTGTTGAAAATATCGGTACGTGGCTCAGCCAGATAATACGCACATTCCCTTAGGACGACGTTTTTATTACACACCCAAGTGTGATGAACAGCAGACGGGGCGAACCCCATGGTCACGAGGAACTGCTGTTTGGTGGTGGAAACCGGCAACCCAATCCCCGGGACTTAGAGTGGCGAACCCCAGAAGGTCCCGGTAGGTTAGGCGTGGTGTTGAGCCGGACAGGGGAGCTGCCTACCACCAAAGTGGGGTGGCGGTGGCGGGGTGGTGCTGCGCAACAGTGGCTCCGATGTCTGTTTCCGGCTGCGACACGAATGAGACGGAATAGCTTCCCAAAGTCCGCTGCGATGGTTGCAACCTCTATGGTGTCTGCAATCACTTTACGGTCTCTCTTGGCGAAGCTTAGGGCTTGGTGACATAAAATATGGAATTCAGGAGAATCGATCAGCCGCGCATCTCTTGCTTTTGAGGACAACTGCAATGTGCACTCGGAGATCCAGTCTCTTTTGTACCGGAGGGTCTTACCTAACTGCCCCAACGCCGCTTCTCTGATGAATGTTTTCAGCGTGGACCAATGTGCGTCGATAGTTGAATCGTCGAATGAAGTTTCTCTTATTTAGGAATCCGTTGTCCCCAGCAGCGCTTGTCTTCTCTCAGGTTGTTTCAAGAACGCGACGGTGAATTTGCCCGGGAGGGGAGTCTTCGAACGAGTAGTCTGGTGAATCTTGAAGCGGGAGCGNGGAGCGTATGGTATGGGTATGGTCCGTACCGTTCCTACTTCGGGTTTCTGCACCGCGATAGGAACGGCAGTAGTCCTTCGAAGAGACCAAGCGAGTACGTACCAAATTTTAATATCTTTACATCAACACCCGAACTCGAGTCGGAGCTTGCGACATTTTTTCGCCCGAATTCACTACGGAAAGTTGTGTTCATCAGAGTTGCCCTCTCTTTCTCCGTTTCTATTCAACTTCGTCGTAGTTTTAATTCTTGACACAACCCTATCCTCGTGCGATGATAATGACATCGATTTAATCCCAGATGGTAGACTGTCTGATCTGGAGTTTGCAGAGAACATTGTGCTGCTGAGTGGAGATCTAGGTAAGTTGAAAGTTTTCCTGGATAGTTTGAGTGCTATTGTAGCCATATGCGCTTTGCGTTTTGCACCTGAAAAGTGTCAAATATTACTACACCCTGATTGAAGAAGCAATACAAATTTTGCTATCTGATCTGATTGGGTTAGCGCAGTCCCCAACCTCACTCCTAGTGGGGAAGTAATGGAGAAAGTGAACTCTTTGTTATTGGGCAGCTATATCTCACCCAGTGGACGCATCACGGATGGAGTTTAGTTCAGTTCAGTTCTTACAACCATTAACCATGCACTTGCCTCCCAAGGTCTCAGTATGGTTCGGGGTAGGTGTCTAGAGTTGCGGCTGGTCACCCTGCCCTTGCACCTCACGAAATGCCCCCATACGACCAAGCGTCTCAAATAGCCTCTGCTGAGGAAGC